GGAGCGCAGCCTTGGGCAGCGCCTGCAGGAAGCGCTCATCACACCCGCACCCCGCTCTCTCCCGCTTCCTCCTCCCCTGCTTCCTTTTCCTTCTTCTGGAGGAGTTTTACACGAGGCCATTTCACACAGGTCCCCCACTTTGTAAGAACCGGTAAGAAATTAGCCCCACTATCTCTTCTCATCCACAAGAATACGAAATAAACGACATAAAGAAAACTCTTTCCTTTTTCTTTCTTTAGAAAATATTTGATGAAGTTGTTTTTCTTTCTACCCACATTCCATTCCTTGTGGGCTTTTTAAGGGGAGATTTTTAGGCTCTAACCAGTCACTCTGAAGCTGCTTCGCCTCCTCCCCCGTTTCGCCTCCTCCCTTCTACCCTTCTCCTTTATTATTATTATTTTTTTAAGTCGACTCAAGCCATGAACCATCTGGGGAGTGGTTTCAGGGGTTCGAACTCGGGACCTTGGGTTTGCGAGTCAGGCGGCAGCACCACTGAGCTAAATCCCCGACCCAGCACTTTATATTGTCTTTTCTAGTTTGTCAATTTCTAACTCTCAGTTTCTACAATTTCAAATATATTTTAGAGATATTTTTCCTTGCTGTTTCAGAAAGCATATTAATAACTAAGTCAGGTGGAATGTGTTTTCCAAAATGACCACTACGAATGGAGGAAGAAAGAGTGAAAAGTTATTGTAACGTTGCCATGGGCAGCACGGCCGGTTGCAGAAACCCCAGGACGTTTTTATGGAGTCACACTTACTCTTCAGAAATTTTACATCTCCGAATTGAGAGCGAGAATTATTCGGGTAGATGCGGCCCTGTCCAAGGTCCTTTGCCTTACCTCTGAGAAAGTCCTTCTCAAAAATCACAAGCTGCTGATGGGGATGAGCTACAAATCAGATTATGTCTATAAGAAAAACTAAATCCCTCAACCCTTAACGAACAGAAGATTTATAATGTACATCACTAGAATTCTAGGCACAGGGAAATTTAAGTTGAGAATGAAAATAAAGAGCAAAAATGTGGCTTGTTTCTGAGAGGAGAAGCTCAAAATGATACTGTGACATCAGGGTTTCTGTTTATCCCTAAGGCTGGTGTGGAGACTTCAAAGTTTGATGTTGTTTTTTTTTCTTCTTCTTCTTTTTTATTTTTCCCCCCTCCAAAGATGTTGAGCAGCAGGCTAATGGCTCTCCAGCAGGGTGCAAAGGCAGCAGAAAGCACTGGAATCAGATGTCAATGTATTCCTCAGAGATACCCTGCTAGGCCAGAGCTAACTAACCGGGGCTTTAGGCTTCTCTTGGGGAATACGCTTTGCTGGCTCCCTGCCCACTCCTGACTTTCCATACTTCCTGATTAAAATGCTGTCACAGATAAATCATGATTTATGCCTGTTGGGGCCATTTTCTTTCTTCTTCCTCTTTTCTTCCACCCTCCCAGCTTTGTTTTCCTTTTTCTTTTTAGAGAAAAGTTTGGAACTGTAAGACTGAGAAAGTTCTGGGAATAATTACTCACAGGCAAGCATACGCATGCAGACATGTCCGATCTCCCTGTCCTGTGACCAGGCATGGGGCAGGGACATTCTGGGCATGTGCCCGCCCCACAAGGCCAGCTCGGAGAGCTAAGGCAAGGCCTCAAGTGGTCCCCCTCCTCCTCCACATGGGTGAAATCCATCAACCCGTTTTCAGTACTTTGGTAAACAGGGCCCACACATCATTTATATGTTTTCATGTACTGTATTTTCTGTCAGTCGCTGTTGAAAGTCAATCACTTGATTACTTCGGTAGCTTCCAAAGGAATAGACTTTAGAGGAGGGAAATTCCTCATCTTTCCCCAACATAGCCCTGGGGATTATGGCTATGACACAGATAAGAGCTGTCAGTTTACATGCTGTGGGTGTCCAAAACACTGGTGTGGGGTTCCTCCCAGGCATACAGATAAGGGGCCCTTCCTGCGCCTGAGATTAGTGACTACCTGACCCTTGCTTCAAGGAGGAACAAAAGTCAGCAAGCAGGAGCACACAAACAGAAAGTGTATGACCTATTAGGACATTTGACAAGCACAGCCCTTTTAAAACTATAAAGTAAAACAGAATTACTCAGTGAAAGTCAGTAAAGTCAAAATGCGGCACTAAAATCGTATCTGTTGTGTCTCTTGCCTCTCTCTATTCTGTCCCCCTCCAGCCCAGAGCAGCCTCCAGCACTGTAGTCTCTGTCCACACTCCTTGGCCTGCAGGAGGGAGGACCCAGGACCCACTCTATGACAGTCTGCCTGCTTTCACTCTACTGTGAGGTCTTTTCGCCACCTATACCTGCTGCCTCTAGGTTCAAGGTTCGGTTATTGGAGGGGACGGTCTTTGTCTCACATGTGTCCTTTTGCCATATGCCCTGGTCAACTCAGCATGGCCAAAGTGGAAGCTTGTGCTCTGAAGTCCAGACCAGATCCTCTTAGCTCAATCACAGCAGGGATTCCTGCCATCTGCATACTTTCCTGTTTGCCTTCCAGCCTCTCAGACCCCTAGCTGGTGCTCCATCAGTGACTTTCCTCAAGATTTTGTCTTTCCATTATTGGTGATTCTTGCCTGTTGACTGATTCCATTTCAGTTTGGAGCTCTGACACTTGATGGAAGATTATCTGATGATGTAGGTGGGGGAAAACCCCCACAGTATGAGATGGAACAAGACCGGGAGCCTCAGAGAGAGAGAGAGGGGATTTAAACCCATGCCATGGTTTCAGTTTGAGGGCTCTTTAAAAAGTTGATTTCAAAGCCTTATAAAGAATTTACAAATGAAATTGTGAATTAAAATTTCAGAGGTGATAAGACATTTAAACAGGGTAAGGTTTCATTTTCTGTTAAATGGGAAGAACCCAACAGCAAGTATGAATATGAGTGTGCACAAACAGCTCTTTCTGTGGCCCCTTTTAGGATGACATGCTTCTCACCAGGGAGAAAAAAATGGTGGGAGAAGTTCCCATCAGAAGTGGAGCGGGCCAGTTGAAAGGGCACTGCATCAAGACCAAGGTCATGCTGAGTAGGACATAACTCAAAATTGGAGGGCGCACCACGTGTCTTAGCCTTTCTTTATGTTAATTTCCTATGGATGAAAACAGCAGGTATATTTAACCTCACAGATGAGCAGTGAAGTAAGACAGGCTGATATGTAATGTGGCATGGTAATAGTACTCCCTAAATCCTAGACACTGTTATTTTTCACTTTAAATTCAAGTAACTTCCTCCCCCACCCCGGTGCTGGGAATCGAACTCAGGACCTTGCACTTGCCAAGTAACTTCCTTTTTAAACTGAAGATTTCAAAGCATTTAGTAGAAAGTATATGATAAATGCAAATAATCATAAATCAGTAATGAAACAAATCACTATGGAAAAAGCTTATCAGGCTGATTTGAAGTCACATAAGAAGACTGTGTATCTTTCAGTTCACTCCAAAGGAGCTTTGCAAACTAGTATCCCATAATAAACAGCCCCACAAATACATGCCTTCATCCTCCCAAGCCCTACTCCCAGTAAAAGAAGCTGTTGCAAGAATAATTTATTCATGCCATGTATTGCTTAAGTGTGCATAGGAAACTGAGTAGCATTAAAAAATAACCCAATGTGGGTAGTCAAGGTCAATTTAGCAAAGCAAGAAATACCTGACCCAACAGCTGTGGGCTTTACACATGGGGCCCAGCTTATTTAGCAGCACCAAGGATGGGAGGAGCAAACAGGGAGAAGAGAGAGTTGATGATTCCCTTTTAATCAAGCATATATCATTCTTGATTTTTTTTGCCCATATTTCATTATTAAATGAAAGAACATTATGATCATTTAAAACTAAAATAATTTATTTTACATTATTTAAAAACTGTATTTGGCTGATTTTATTTATTAGGAATTTAATGGATCATACAAAACAAAAAATGAATTTATTTTTGCTATTTATAGCCACTAAAAATTACATTTCCATCTTCAAGGCAATATTCTAATTTGTTTGTTTTCAGGGTACTGTGACAGGGCTCAGCAGTTCCTAAAAGTACTGAAAATGAAGTGGTAGATAAGTTTGAAACTTAATGATTGTGAGGTCCTTAAAAAACAATACTGTGCTTTTAATGGAGTTACACAGAGGGAGAAGCTAAAGAGGTTCTGCTTTCCCTACATGTTTCCCCCTTTGAAATTAGAAAAGCAGTTCAGTCTGATTGAGCTAGGTTGGGGGTAAGGAACTTGCCAGGTTTTACAAATGAAAGCAAGTGCTTAGAAGTAGAATTAAAAGCCAATGTACACTAAACCGTTAGTGTTATGCCAGCCCTAATCTGTACTCAAAAAGTGGAGTGTGAACCATTCACAGTTGACACTGGTCTCCTTGCCAGGGGCAGGTTCTGCACACTAGGCAGCAGAGCTGGAAATCAGTGGTCAAACAGCACTGCTTACATCTCAGAGGGGCAGAATTTGCACACAGAACATGCTTCATATAAGTCCCCTGGCCCATACCGCAGATCAGAGCAGAAAACCGTGCTCTGTAGACCCCTGTATCTCACAAGATAAGAAAATTGTAAATGTTTAAAAAAGATTTCTATGGTCAAACATGTTTGAGAAATTCAGAGTTATGATCAAGTAAATTTCTTTCCTGCATGATTTCTACCAGCTGTTGAGATTTTAATATTTTGAATATCTTCATTATTGGGCCTGTGATGTGTTTTTGAAGAGACAGGCTATCATGGTACACTTGTGTTCCATGGGGTAGTTTGGGAAATACTGAGATGACATATTATTATCCCTGGTTTACATCCAAGGAAGATGAGGCCCATGGAGATTATGTCCTAAGCAGTAACAGAGAATTCAGGTCTCTAGTTTCCAACTAGGGTCAGAATTCTGAGGAAAACAAAATGGAGCCAAGGTCTTAGCAACATATGTCCTCTAGATCTGAAATGAATGCTTCTGAAAGTGCCTTACACAGACTGTTCCTCTTCTAGTCAGGACATGCTGACCCTCCCAAATCATAAGTACCTCATACAAAGGCATGCAGATGCTATCAATCCACTCCAGTTGCAACCGAGGTAGTTCATCTTTCCGGTTCCGATCAAAAATAGCCTAGAAAGCAGAAGGACAACCTTGCTTTATTACCCTGGAGTATTTTACAGGTATTCTGTCAAACTCTTTGCCACAGTGGTCCAATTTTTACCAAGTGAGCCCTCCACAAATCACAATCTTTACGCATACTTTTTTCTTTTATCTAAGATGAGAAATAAAGTCTTCCCCTGTTTTTATGAGATTTGTAAGTGAATTTATTTGAACTTTCTAGTACGCAACAGCTAGAGGCCAAAAGCTGTCTTTAGATACAGGTAACTGCTACTAAATCAAGTCATCAGGTCACTGGAAATTGGGTACAAGTCAAGGGGAAGGGGACATATTTTATTGTCACAAAAATAATACAGGCTTTTATTTCTATACTGAAAGAATGGGGAATTAGATTGGAAAGAAATCCTTAAATTTTAAAATGTGAAATAGAAACTGCGTTATCAATTTCTAGGGTGAGGTGTTAGTTTGGCTACTGTGTGTATTTTCAATAAGTCTGTTATTAATAAATTCCCAATATTTATCTATCATTGGATGGGTGATGGTAGGAGGCACCCATTCTTCACTCTCATGTTATAATGTTTGATACAATTTAGGCATATTTTTGAGAAAAAGATGTGACATTTTCTGTTGGACAGACTCGCCAGAGAAAACAATCAGTTGGAAATGGAGGGTCAGCACAGATTGCTTGAAGAAATGCAGCCCCATCCAAGGCAGTGGGGATGCCCCTCCCTGTGTTTTTAGTGAATAAGGGCTGGGCCTGAGAAACTACCCTGTGTCCTTACGGATCTGGAGGAAGGCAGTACCTAGTTAAGATTTGCTTTGCCTTATTATCTTACAGTAGACTGTGTCTTTCTGCTACATGCAATGTGGCATCCACACTGTTTTGACATTCTAACTGGTCACGAGGGCAGGTCCAAGTATCCCCTTGACTGACAGATGTCAGAAATGCCTGCATCCTTCAGACTTACCAGCCCCAAAGAGAGTGCCTGGGACAGAAATCAGTAGCTGCCACATTTGAGGAAAATAGCTCTTAGGTCACTGACTCCCATGGCCTCTGCTCAGCCCTGTCTCGTACTGTGAAATGCTCACCTTCTTACTGCAGCATAGTGGAGATTAAATTTCAACACTTAGGACCCCGGAAGACACATTAAACCATATCCAAGCCATGGCATTTTGTTTTATTTTGTCTATAGCTCTTTGCTTCCTGAATTATTTATTCATTTATTTGGTCAGTTTCTGGTATTATATACAGATTTCGTTTAAATTCACTGATTCTTAGTATATTCACAGAGTCCTACAATTATCCCCACAATCAATTTCAGAACATGTTTATTGCCCCCCAAAGAAACCCATACCAATGGCAGTAACTCTTCATCTTCTCCCAAACTCCTAGCCTTAGGCAAGGACTAATCTGCTTTGTTTCTATGTGGATTTGCCTTTTCCACACATTTCATGTAAACAGAATCACATGATATTTTTGCTTTTGTGACTGGCTTCTTTCACGTAGCAGGTTTTCATGGTTTATCCATGTAGCATACACCAGCACTTTATATCTTTTTTGGAGATGATACTCCATTGTTTAGATATGTCATGTTTTACTCATCAGTGGATGGCATTTGAGTTGTTTCCACTTTTGCCTATCATAAAAAAGGCTGCTGTTAACATTCATGTGAACATTTTTGTGTGTATGCATGTTTTCATTTCTTTTGGGATATACATGGAAGTAGGATTCTTAGGTCATATGGCAACTCTATATTTAACTTGTTGAGGAATTGCCAAACTATTTTTTCAAAGCTGCTACATTATTTTACACTCCCACCAACACTGTATGAAGTTCAATTTCTCCACAACCTCACCAACACTTGTTATTATCTATCTTTTTGATTATAGCCTTCTTGATGGGTTTCAAGTGGTACTGCACTGTGGTTTCAATTGCAGTTTTGTGATGGCTAATGATTCTGAGAATTCTTTCACAAGTTAATTGGCCATTTATACATTATCTTTGGACGTGTCTATTCAGATCCATTGCTCACTTTTTAAATTAAACTGAGGTATAATTATCCTTATTTTCTTCTAAATACGAGGCCCATTTCAGATACACAGTTTAAAAATAACTTCTCCCCACTGTAGATTCTTTTTTCAATTTCTTTAATTTTCTTTTAATTTTAATAAAGTCCAATTTAATTTTGATAAAATCCAATGCCTCTGGTCAACATTTCTGGGCTATTTTATCTTTTGTCTCTTGTGCTTTTGGTATCATATTTAAGACGTAATGGAATAAATAAGCCCAGAGAGACATACCTGCATTTTCTTTGAAGATTTTCATTGCTGTAGTTGTTACACTATGATCCAATTTGAGTTTTTTGGGGTATACTGAGGGGTAGGGCACCAACCTCATTCTTTTTGCCTCGAATGTCTTTCCTGAAGTATTCGTTGAAAAGACTATTTCCCCCACTATATTGTCTTGACATTCATGTTGAAATGAGTCCAGCATAATTTTAAGGGGTTATTTCTCAACTTTTTAATCAATGTTTGGTGAGAGAAAAATAAACATAGTATAATTTTCCTCTGAAAAATAAAGGGGTAGTAGACACAGCAGGAATTAGCTTTGGTTGCCTGCCCTTCCAAACCTTTCTGGAAAAGGACACATGAGGTATATCCTGCCTCCCACAACAGATCACCAGCTGTCTTAAGTAATTTTTGTGAGGAAAGAGTGGCATTTACAGCTACATTTCCACTATAAAATTAATTTAATTTACATCTTCAGAAAATGCCATACCCAAGCCTACAGAGAAAGGCTCCTAGCCCTGTACCACTGCATCCACCTGTTCGCCAACCCTGGCCAGTGCTAGTATTTTTTCATTTAATTAAATGACCTGTGGTATGGCTATACTATGAGCCTTCCAGGGTATGAATCTGAAACACTTTTTAAAAGGAAGGAAAGCATTTTTTAAAATGTAGGTATGTAGCTGAAAGGAATCTGGATTGTCCTAGGTTTTACACATGAACTGCATGTATCATATAACCTAGTATCTTTATTTTTATAGCCAAACAACCCCCAAAAAGAAAAAGGATGTTTTGGACACTGCAAAAATAGATGCTGCTTTGAAAACTAAAGTAATTTGTATGTGGTTGTCATTGTAGTCTTTGGCCCTTTTATAGGTAAGCTACTGTTTAAGAATAGTCAAAATGAGTAGGATTGAGAGTTTGGACTTCAAACAGGTGAAACTATCAAGCTAGGAGATGGTTTCACTGCTTTCTCTTTCTTTTAAATGTCAACAAGGGTGTCTTAAAACTCAAAGATTTTACAAATGCCTCCAAATGTCCAAGACGTGGCTGATTTGAATCCTTAAAAACAGGCATTCTTGACAACTGACACATTCCTTGAGCTTCACTGAATCCACTGTGCTGCGCTGCTAGTCTTTAAAATACTTTGCGTTACTGTCAGAAGTGGTGCTTTTAGCAAATCATTCACTAAGAATAAAGAGGCTGCCCCCTCTCTGGGGGTGGTGACCGAAGCATTGATGTCTTCTGTGTCCTGATGTGTAAAAACAGCAGCATCCTAAGCCTACTGCAAGCATTCTCAAATAATAACTGAATGTGTGAGTCCAACATAAATAGCATTCCAATGGCCAGAACCTAGTTTCCCAGGGGAAACTTTTGCATGTTGCAAACAAAGAAAAAGGTTTGAAATGATTTGCTTTGGTGATCTTTCAAGTTTGAAACTGGAAAATAAATACTACCTCCTTAGGGCTGGCCGGCTTGCTTTTAATTTTTTGCCATATTTCTAATTCATAGTAAGCACATATGAAACACTGGTACTGAGCTGTGAACTATTCGGATTCCACTCTGCTGTGAACTATTCAGATTCTCCTCCCTTGTGCATATTTGTCCCATGGTGGGTGCTCAGAAAGTGCTTGTTAAGTAGTTTACCATTCTTAGTTGGAAACCTGGGAATAAGGGTATTTAGCATTAAAGTTTAATTAAAGTTTTAAACTTTTGGGAGTTCTTCCCTAAATCTGTTCTCAGTCTTTTCTGTTTTTAAGTGGCGATTTTTGAGTTATTTTTTAAAATGTCGTTCAAAAGATAAACTCATGATAATGAAAGGATGAACTTACTGAAGGAGTGAGTTTGAGTTCTGATCTCTCTCGATCTCCTTGTTCAAAGAACTCACTGGTTACAAGTTCAGCCACCTGAAATGCAGGAGTATGTTAACTTACATTAGTTTACCACAAGACTCAGAAATTCTCTCTAGCTCCTGGATGTGGTGATTGTCTTCAATACAATCATTTAAAAAGCTTATGAAGAAGTACATTAACCTGTGTTTAATGCTATTACAGAATTTAATCAACGAAACTGATTTCCTTTTAATGAGAACTTATGCCATGTATTTTTAGATGCCACTACAAACACTTTGTAACTCCCTTCCTACCAAAAGCATTTGCTCTTGGAAAGAGATAAACCCAGGGCACACTCTCTGCTTCTTACTGTAACCAAGAGTGGGATTAATGCAAGATTACCTGTTCCTACCAGACTTTTAAAGTATATCATGAATCATACTTTGAAGAATCTAGTCTTTGGGCTGTCTTATTCTGTGTATTAAACATGTTAATTTACAGAAGGCCGTTGTTGCTCTAAGCACAATAGAATTGTTGTTCTACCCCAAACCACAGAAGGCTGTACATTCCTACCTTTCATCCATTAGAGAAATTAGTGATCAGTAGCCAAATCAGAGATTATTTCCTCTTCCCCCAGCTTCAACTACTCAGCGTAGTTTATGGAAAGCTCATTGATATAGCAGATGCATATTGAACAGGTATTTTCAACAACACTATGGTGTGCATCTAAAATATCTCTGAATGAACTAGCTGGATTTACAAAATACTGGAAGAGTAGAAAAAAAATCCTAGACAACTAATGGCAAGACGACCTGACTACCCAAACTTGCTTTTCTCCATTCCACACTCTTAGAAATATCAGGTTCTTACACTTGGCAAAGGTGAGGTGGGTTTGTTTGGTCAAGTACACCAAACAAGACAGATCACAGGTGTATCTCAGACAGCTCACAGAAAAAACTCAAACACAACATCAAACTCACACATACAGAAATCTGAGTAGCAACCTGCAGCCATTTGTAAAGAAATTGCACATCCATTAAATTTGGATTCCAAACATTTCTAACAAACATGGGTCCCTATCAAGAATTCAACTGCTTAGAAGTATTTGGAAGTGACTCAAAAAACCACCCTCTTGCCCCAGGCTCTGACCACCGGAGTTTCACTTGTCTGATGTTGCTCATTCTTTAGAACTCTTTGCTTTTCTCCTCGCAGGCCTCTGCCACTAAGTTTCTGTTCAGCACTCTGGGCCTCTCTTCTTTCACTGGCCTTGCATTTAAAGAAGTGGTTCCCTTAGGGTATGGTCTCATTAATTCAGTTCCCAGAACTCTCTCTCAGCTTCCTCTGAAGTTGAGCCTTTTGCATTAAGGAATGTAAATGTGCGCATCAGGCACCCAAGGTGGGAGTCCTGCATAGTTCTGTAGCCCCTGGAAAGCAGACATTAAAAAAAAGTCTTTCCTCACTATTTCTAAAGCTGTGCTGGGTCCCTCCCCTGTGCTTTTTTCACAGTTTAACTTGTACCACTGTTTTGTTTGTACTTAAAAACTCCATCAGGAACATTAAGTGGCTCCTGATTGAATTTTTTATTAAAGAAGGAAACTGAGATGCTAATCAGACCTTGGGGGCTCACTGGGGAATCCCACGTGCTTAGAGTCATGTTAGTGAGAAAGAATAAATGGAATCAACCCTAGAAAAAAACATTTTTGAGAAAGAATTTAAAAATCAACCTTTGGGAAGTTAGAAATAAATTTATATTTTTTTAAAGAAGATTCTATTGTTTGATCCAAATGCTTTCTAAAACCAAGAAGTGAGTAGAATTTTTAAAACCAAAACTATTCAATTTGGAGACAAATATAAATGAGATTTCCAGCTTAGACCTGTGACAAGATTTCTGATGGAAGCATTTGCAAAAACATGTCTTCATGTTTTATTACCTTGAACTATTATGTTTCTGCACTTACCAGTATGATTTCAGATCCTAAAAAAAATAATAATATTTATACCTGTCACCGAGAAGACCACTTACAACTGGCTATCGGTCATCCCAAAATGATCTAAAATATCAATGAGGAAATTGTGTTCTTTCCAAACACTTTGTCACTTTCCTGCCCCAAGAAAGCAACTGTGCCTGTAGTTCTTGATGTGCTATTTCACGGGGGGTTCTGAAGGCCCTGGTACTTCATCCCTTACCCTCCTCTCTTTCTCTGTTTTCTCCCAGTCCTCCTGACTTCCTTTCACTCTCCACCCTGCATCATTTCTATCCCTATCATAGCAGCCACCCCAGTTGCTGTATTTTCCCTGATACCTGGAAGAGCTCTCCACCTCTTTCTTCTCTGCAGTGTATTCTCAGACTCTACCTCTGCACATGGTGGGCTCAGAGGTTGAAAGATGCTACTGAACCACACAAATTCTTCACAGTTAACTCTACTTTATGTAACTTCTGGTGACTTCAAGTATGTCACACTGAAGATGAAATCAGCATTCATGCGGGCAAGAGCTTTGTAAGAAAATTGCCTGATTGAATTAGACTGTGAGGTAAGCAAAAAATGAACTTCAATTGCGTTAAGCAACTGAATTTTCAGAATATATTAGTTAAACAGCTAAGCTGAGCCTAACCCTGACTAATTAAAAAATTGACATGAAAGCTAGGAGCTGATAATGTTTTAAAAAAGAAAAGAAAGAAAAAGACCCTAAATTATGCAGCATCAGTCTGGGGGCCACTATCAGATTAGAATGACAAACTATGTTTTACAGCTTTGTAAAATTATCACTGAAATAAAGCTAATAATGCTCTTAGTGAATTTATGGCCTTAGGAGAAGAGATTGGAAAACAAATGTTCAGTAGCACGCAATGATTCCTGTTGACTGTTTCCATTGTTATTACTGGGATTCATCTTTGAAAAGATCAGCAGACTTATAACCAAGAAGGAAAAAGAACAGAAAAATCCGGAGTCTTGTAGATGTGGAAGGTGAAGCTATGCCTTGACTTTAAGCCATAAAAATTAAAATTAAGATGTTTTATTTTTTATTTATTTTTCTCAAAAGTGCAGATTTTTATTGCTTTGTGCATACTGCTTATAAAAGCTTTATAAAGATGGATATATAAATGCTTGTTGAAGTGTGAGAACATATCTGTGTGTCAACAAAGTATTTATTTGAAGATGTGAGGAGGTATTTTCTTCAGTAAAACAGAATATTTGCACAGATAAGGTATGTTTTAAATGACAAAGATCAATCAAGATTTAGCCTTGCAAAATAATACAGTTGGGGTAGGGCCAGCATACCCATAGATAAAAAATAAAGAAATAAGCGGTGCACAGCATTTATTTTTGCATAGCATTTTTTTTTTTTTTTTTTTTTTTTTTTTT